ATGTCGCTTCATTTACACCAATCAACACATTCCTTAAATATAAATTTTATTTTATTTTCTCTTACTAGACGGCAGAACTTTTCCGTTAATTGTGTTAATTTTTTATAGTATGCATTTAGCAATTACTATAGTGGTATGGTACTCCAATACAAGAACGTGAAGCATCCATAACACTGTTTATAATGGCGGTGACATATTTAATAAATGAGGAAGAAACAGGAAGTAACTTGCCACAACTAAGCGATCAATGGCTGATGCTCATTGGTTAACATCCAAGTTGATTCTTTCCATAGACAAAACAGTCACACAAGTGTACTGAAAGATCAATAAAGCTAATACAATTGCTCGGCGAAATGGATAAAACTACTGAACACGGGTTCGCTCCTCGCCAACGAGCTGGCCACGTGGAGTTTTCCGGGTTTCTTTACGTGTCTAACACCTAAATACGGGTTAATTTCTCATAGAAAACACTCCCGGGAAGTAACGCCCGTCGTCAAATTTCACACGTGTTGCATTACCGTATCCCATCAAACCAAATCAATAAACCTCTTAATAACGGCCACTAACGGAAACATAAAAAATGGCTATTCTTTGGAGGTTATTTTGTACGCATTTTATAAACAAGTTCCTGAAAAAATGACCTCCGTTTAGAGGTGGCCGTTGTTAGAGGTTTCACCTTATTATTATAAAATTCGACTTATTCACGCTCACTGGCAAACTTTTTATTAAACTTTGAGTAAATGTTAAAATAATAATTCTAAAAGTATCATTGGAAGCTTCATCATTGAAAATTTTCCTTGTATCCTTAGAGATTGTTAAACTTTCTGAGTCATTATGTTAAAATATAAGATAATCCGTATTAGTGGTCGTCAACCTGGCCTTCACGACGCTCCAGAGTGTCGCAACAAAGCTTTTAGAGTGTCACAAGATTCTCAGAAACCTAATTTATTTATTGAAACTTTAAATTATTGGTTATCAGGTGTATCACGTGTGCCAAAATAAGCCAGTTAGAGCAAAGCTTCGAAACAAGTTTCAAAACTCTGATATATATATATATATGTATTAACAGTATTTTGAAATCTGCATTACAAGTCATTACACCTGTATTTATATTTTCCCTTCTTTTTAATATTAAATATGTTTATAATACATGAAAGATTGCAAGGAAATTATTTATCTCTTAATTAAAATGGAGAAAATCAACTGCGCTTCACTCAAAATATTAAGAAATTCATACTCGGATTTTAAATGTAGTATTGATAGAATAAGGCAACTCAAGGGCGATCTGTTAAGGGAGGCCTTTTTTATGGGATACTTACTGATTTCTACTTTGGCGTCAGAAACGTGATGAAAATGCAGAAAACTCCACGTGGCCAGCCCATTTATCAGGCGCGCATCCGCGACCAACTACCAGTGAAATTAAGAATTTCATAATACAGTACTTAATGTACTTAATGTAATACATTAATGTAATATACCTCATTACATTAATATAATGAGGTATATTAATGTAAATTAAATATACCTCATTAGAGGCATTATTAAATTGTATAATGTTGGCGTGATTCCTGAAACACATTAATATTTTGCTGTTTAAATACCGTAAATAAAATACGGTAAGTAGCTATCAAGTGCAGAATGATTCATTTTGGGACTGAACACTTTACTTTGCTCAATACCTCATGATTGCGCAACCACATTAAATAATAGATTATTTTATGACATTTTATGTTTTACATTATGTTTTGTTCGTGTTTCATAATCATTTTTACATTTTATATGAAGAAATTCCACATAATAAGTGTTCGATCCCGAGTGAATGACCCTATACAAGGAGGCCGGACGGCCGAGGAGATTCAGGCATTAGTCTATTGCTCTGGAGAATCCGGGATCGAATCTGGGCAAGCAATTTTCCGGGAAGTTTTCATGTTTGGCTTCGTTTCTCAGACTCGGTTGCCTGCATGTGAGCCTAATCGAACTAACGACGAGTATGAAAAAAGGCCTTCTTAAAATCCACAGCGTGTAAAAAACCAAAAATAAGAGGGGGAAAGGTGCAATAATTACTTTTACTGCTTTTATTTATGTTTTATTTTTTCAATTATTTCAGTTAATAATTTAGATGTTTCTAACCTGGTCAGTATCGTCCTTCGAGGGGGATCGATTGATTTATCTGGGAATCGATAAATTACTAAGGAATCGTTTGAGGGATCAATAGTGTATAAAGTAAAATACCATCTTGTATTTTATATTTAATGTAAAACATTATTAATTCCTGTTTGTAAATTATTCTTTGTATCGACTGGAAAAAAAAAGCTGAGAATCGCTGATTTAGATGGCAGATGCTCTCATTTCAAGTAAGATAATATTTAGATATCTAAATGTTAATTTTATAAATATCACCATCACATTTTCGCTATAATTCAAATATGTAAGCAATTTTTATTTATTAATACGTCGTTTTTATGGTGTATACTTTTTAAAATCTTTCCCCTGCAATATATATCATTTAAATCGATTAAATAGGTCTTAAATCGTTAAATTTTTAATGCTACAAATGATCGATTAAATTACTTTCTTGATTTATCAACGGGGGAGCTGACGCAATTCTTTCGTGGCGATTCTAACAGCAGCGCCCTCTTATTCTACTTAAGAAAAAACGTAAATTTACCAATTTTTTTTTAATATTAAAACACTCCAAAACTTTTATGATTATAATTATAAATTAAACAAAAATCTTTTTCATTTAAATTAAATAATTCTAAATACAAAACAAAATCAATTTTCGTTTAATTAGACTGACATTTAAATACGCCAGTAACTTATAATTAAATTTATATATTAATTACATTTTATATTTATTATGTTTATTTTTAAAATATTCTATTTTTAATTAACACTTAAGAGAAATTAATTAAATTCTTTTTAAAAAATTTGATTTTTGTACAATTTTTTAATTTTGTACTGCCATCTAGTTTCGAATAGGTAAATAATTAATATTTTATACAAAAAATGATTTGTTGCTTATAAATGCAAATATAATATTTATAATGACTTTAATAATTGAAAAAAATCATACTATAAAACGTTTATATAAATTAGTTTAATAAAATATATTATAGTAACAGTGAAATATGTCACGTGATTTGTATTAAATGCAATAAGTCGAATTAAGTCACGTGATCATAACCGATTTCATATTACAGAATTATTTTCCTACTAATCGATTTATATTAGTAATATTTAATAATTTTACAAATATTTTATGTTTTAAAAAAAATTTAAATTTTGTTTTAAAAGTTTAACTATTACAGAGGAAAAANCATGATGAATATAAAAGTATTCCTTTAAATGTAATAGCCTTAATTAATTAATATTCATGAATCATATTTTGTACCTTTGTAACTTATATTTCAAATTTCATTAATTAAAATTTCCATATCTGTACTTCTTAAATTTTACAACTTGACAAATGTAGGACTTATCATACAGTTTGTCAAGTTGTGAGTATTAAGAAGTACAACAATTGAATAGGACAAGAAACTTTGAAAACATTAACATTTCAAAGTTTTGTTATTGGTAGGTTTTATTATTGTTTTTTGTGCAAAATAATTAAGTGCACATTTCTTGTTAATTTCCAACTGAAGTTAACCAGATTTTCATGAAACTGGACATTAATCCCTTAATTACTGAAAAATAGGCTGATGTTTGCTGTTCATACCTTGACAATAAAAAAACTCTTCATTTTCAAAAAGTTTTGAATAAATCAAATCTTTTCCATAATTTCATTCAAGATGCTGGTGGTTTCCTGCCATACCCACAACCATTTTGGAGATAAGAATTATCAGAAATTTCAAACAGTTCTGCCTCACCTAATATTATTAACCCAGAATATCACTGATTTTAATTACATTTTCAATAAAATTGATTGAAGTGATTATATAAATACCTTACCTTCAGTAAAAAATATAAATTTTAATTTTAATAAAGTTGTGTTATTCCCTAAAAACAATACAAGTAAATTTGTACAACTCACAAATAAACTAATTCAATAAATAATTTATTGCAACTTATACATCTGATCTTTTCAGATCTAAATTCTTTTCAAGTTGTGTAAACAGAATTTATTGAATTAGCTGATCAACTAACTCACTTTTCTAACTTAACTAAGACTTGATGCATTAATGAAAAAATAATTAAGACAAGAAAAATTTTCATACTTTATCACCTAGGTATTCCTGAGGTAACATCCAATATAGTGGTTGTTTAATATTTCCAAGAACTCCAATCCGAATATTTCCCCTATGACCAGGTATCACATAAAGTCCATAGAGAAGAGATAGTTGAGTATTTCCATACTCTAAAACCAGCTTTCTGTTTAACCCTGTAATCTGTTAAAAATTAAAATTGTAAAATTGTATAATGATACTATATTTGTTAAGGTATTTTATATCAGATAGGCAAGTCTTCTATTAAGTATGAAAATAATTTATAAAAATTTAAAATTTGGAATTGAATTTTAAGTATTAACAACCAAAACATTATAAACTACAAAATCAGAAGTCAATGATAAAAAGCCTTCTTCTAATCTCTAGCAGTCTTAATTTTTTCAATCTATCAAATACTTTTGTAGAGTAGATCTGTCCACGGGGTGATCAGATCAACACCTCTACAGACACTGAGGTAAAGTTTAGTTCAGGACAAATATCATTGGGTGCTCACATGGAAACAAAACTTCAATATATAATTTTTGTCATTTACAAAACTAACCATACTTATTTTTTTAAATATAAAAATTACATAGGCAACATTACATTTAAAAACTATTTGAACTTAATCAGACATTAAGAAAATATTTGAAAAAATATATATATACTAATGATGTAATGGGAGATTTAATATTAAAAAAATGTATTACAATAACTAGAATAGTTAAAAATATTTTTTTTAAATACGAAATTAATGCGCTTTACTATCGCCGAATGAATGAGTGACGTCACTATCATTAAACACGTCACTATCATTAAACACGTGTTTCGAAACTTGTGAAGAAAGACGGTGCGGACTGTGAGTACTTCTTTTTAATAATAATAAATTTATAAAGTCTAAATAATTGGAATTATCCTTCTATAACGATAGGCTACGTGCTCACCTAGAAATTTTATTTAAAATAAACAATGTAAAATGGAAACAACGTCTCATATCTACAAAATATCAATATAAAGATGCTTACGTGCTTATAAACACGATTATTTATGCGTGTATAAATTTACATATAAAAAAAAATACGCGCATATTTTTATTAACAAGGATTTTTTAGCGCGTGTTTGTGGCCTACTATGAGGATACGCCCATAAATAACCGCTCATATACACGTTTTAATTAATATAGGCTATATTACTCCATTTTGTAAGATGAAAGTTGCAGGATTAATATTTAACCTTTAAGAATTTACCAAAATAAAATTTTGAACTTTACTTTTGTTGTTTTTGGCAGAGCATCAATCATTTTTATGCATCCGGTCGGTTTATGCACAGTAGACGAAATCTCGAACTGGATAAAATGATGATAATCATCATTATAATTAAAATTACCGTTCATGTTTTATGGAAGGACATTAACCTAAACTGCTGCAGTGAATTTAATAAAAGTTTACCTTTAAGTAAATAATTATTATTTTTAATGGTTTCATTAAATGGACATTTCTTTAATTATCTGGGATCTTGTAATTGAGATGGCAAATTGTAAGATTTTTCTCATCTCGTTTTGTAAGTTTTTTAAACGTTTCAGAGCTTTATAAACGTTTTTTAAGGTTTCATATTGTCTTAATATTATTGTATTCTAGTTCAGTTCTTGTTTTTTACAACGTTTTTATTTATAAATCAAAAACGTTTTTAGGGTTTAAAATATTTTATATCGCTTTACAAGAGCAGTATTATAGTTTCTAATTAAAATTTTTACTTCTTATAACGTTGTTTTATAGTTTAAAAAGCTTTTATATAACGTTTTTTAAAGGGATAAATATGCTTGTTTAACGTTTCATATAGCCTTTAAAAACTGTAATATTGCTTCTATATCAAATTTTACTTCTTATAACAGCTTAAAAAGAGCTTCCTTAACGCATTTTAGGCCTTAAAACGTTTCCTTAACGTTTTATATAGCCTTATAGGAGCAATATTACAGTTTCTAATCCCAATTTTACTTCTTATAACAACTTAAAGAACGTTTTTTTATAACTTAAAAACACGTTTTTAAGGCGTGTATCGTTTTAAAATCTATATATCTTGCTATTCATTGTGTAGATATTCCACAAATCTATCAAAACACAACGTTTAACCTTACTAACCAATTTTGAAGACCAGAAATCGTATGTTTCAACAATTATCCAATTATCTAGTTACATCATTGTGTTGTTATCGATTTTAGAAAAACATTTCCATTGAAAACACTTATAAAAAATTTATCCGCCATGTTAAGAATTCGCTGGCTTAATGTAAAAACTCCCCCTATAGAAACCTGTACATTGTACAATTTATAATACGATACTTAGACGTGTTAGGCCTACGCTGTACAGGACGGCACGGAGGGATACGTTTCTAAAAATTTAATTCTGATGTCTAACAAAGGATTTCTATTAGGTACTTCTAACGTTGGCAGTCGTCCTTGCACGGCTCACACCTCGACTTTTGACACGTCGCGGGAACAAAGGCATGGCTGCCAGGACCCACAATGACACTGTAGTAGAACGAGTCTAAAATCACGTAATCGGGGTAATGTTACTTTGACCTCTCGATGGTAGCCCGACGTTCAACCAATCGCTTCGTCGCTAACGCGCAGCCCCCTCTTCGTCACGGATGATGTAACATATGAATAGCGTGACGTCAGCAGAGGTGCGGTATATAAGAAATGCTAAAACCGTATGGAAACAGTTAGTCATCTTATCTCATAAGCGATAATAAGTAGTAATTCGTTCAACATGATGATGTGGCAGAAGCCGGCCCATCACCAGATGAAAATGATGAAATTAACCAGAAAGCTCGATCTCTCGTAAGTATGAGTGCTTTAAATATGTTTAAAGTACAATATTTAAAATTTGCCAACTTAAATAATGCTTTTAAATTATTATTATTTCTTTTTACAGGATTTTATTTAAGTTTTCTCAACCCGCACACATCTTCACTCTGTTAATTGTCCTATACTTGGCGTTTATCTTATTGCCACATAAACCACGAGATTCGTGGGAACCATCCCCTTGGAGTAGTTTTATATACATAAGTACGTTCGCCACGCATTTTGGCACCCAAATTTGGATGACATTTATATCTGGTAAGCATGATCTTCCTTAAAAATTGCGAAAATATAATTTTAGAAAAATTTTTAAAGTCGTATTTATTACCGTTTTTCTAGGTCTGGTCCTCTTTTTTAATCTTCCAAGAACTGTTTTTGGCCAAGTGCAAAAACAGCTATTTCCAAAATACTTCTTCTTAAATTCGATTTTGGGTTTCGTGACATTCATAATCTACGTTTTCCATCGACCTCTTAAAGGAAATCAAGCGGATCACAAAGTACAGGTGAGTAATTATATTCACCAAAAACCTCCTTTAAATTTCCAAGTAATTGATAAAAAAACAACAAAAACAACCGAAACTAGAATAGTTTACAAACAATTTTGGTAAAGTTCCATCATAACAACTGCCAAAAATTCCATCATTAAAGTTATTTTAAATCTCCGTTCTTACGCATCGCGGTTCAAAGTCTAGATAAATCTCTTAGACCTTGATTACTATTTATAATAACTAATCATCGAAAATATAAATCATTATCGATGATATCAATTAAATTTCTATGTTTCAGATGTGGGCCTTGGGTATATGTTTCTTATCGGAACTTGTAGTGAGATTGTACGTGGTGCCAATCATGTTATCAGTAATGGAGAAGAGAAACACCCTGGAAAAGGAAGCTGGAGTAGGGATGGAGGTCGGATATCACGATCCGGGCCCTCTAAGAAGATGCCCGAGATACATGAAGCTTCACAGCACATTTAGAAAATTACACGGAACATGTGCAGTAGCTAATATTATTTCTATGGGATGTAACGCCATCCATATGTACTATTTAGCAGTCAGGCTATGCACTGCACTAACTTAAAAACCTCCTCGAAATAACCCTAAGAAACTATTTACAAAATTAATCAGGGACCAAATTAAAGTAAGACCTCACAGAAAAGATAAATATTTATTTATTTTTCAACCCGCGCATGTTTTTCTGTATATAGTGTATAATTTATTTATCATGTATAAACGTTTATTATTATGTACTGTACGTTACTTAAAACCATAGTTTTTTTGTATATTTGATGATTAAACACATTTAAAATAAAATATCTACTATCATTTCAATGTTTAATATTATTTTACATCAATTATTTACGCAGAGATAGACACAACATAAACAATATTATGAAATTAATCACGTTAGCAAGTATTAAATTAAATTTTTTTAAAAAATCGATATTTTACTAGTTAAATCATCATATTTTAAAGCAAAATGAAGATGAGTAGATAGCAATTTGTTGTAGACGATCACTTCTTAATTAGACCCCATAAAAAAAGGAGGAGTGGCTTATCAAATTACACTTCCGAGAAATATTTTGAATGTAAGAGTAATTTAAGAAGTGGAGAAACCTCATAATCCGAAAGTTTGTCAATTGATCAATATAATTTACAAAGAAGAAAAACACTTCTGACAAATGTCAATGACGTAGTCAAGGATCTACACGTATTCCTTGTCCTTGTACAGAGCACAACGACTAGTAAGGTTAATTACTGTTTATTTTTTCAACCATTATCTGTAGTAGAGTGCGAGTTTCATAAACGTTTTTCCTTTGTTTTTTTTGAAGAATTTTAAAATACTTTCCCATTATAACGCACTTCAAACCGTTAATATAAAGAAAAACAAACTGATCTTAAAAATAACAATATTATTCGAAGGAAGTATTTTAATGGAACAAAATTGGAAAACAAACTTTTTTAAACTTTCCTCCCCCTCTCTTGGCACACTTCCATTCAATTGTACAAGGTGGAATTTATATTTATAATTCAACTTCTGTCACAGTTAGATTTATATCTTACGCTAAAAATATATTTTTTCTACGCTGTTTTATATATAATATAAATCTATTTTTAAAATTTAATATATATATTATATTTAATTTTTAATTATTCTAAAGTAATTATATATACTTATTTTTAATTTTAATTCGATTTTTCTTTTTTCTTTTCCTTTTTATAAAATATTCTAATAAGAAAACGATGATAGAAACTCCGATACACATGAAAAATAGTAGAAAAATTCCTAATAGATCTTCTAGATATAAACTTTTTTCTCCTTTTTGAGTTTCGTCATCGGTACATTTATTAAATTCGTGATTTATTCGATCGGCCATTTTGTAAAATACCCCACCCTCGAAAAGCTTGCTTATTCTGTAAATAAAATAATTAATTTGAAATAAATATAAGTAAATAACTTATAAATTATTCATTTTTCTTTAATATTAAACTACATTCGTGTTAAATCATAAGTATATTTCTTAGAAAACTGTAGAAATTAATTCAGAAATTATAAACCGCAAAATGAAAATGAATAGGAATTAATTATTCGCGAATAATTCTAGAACTTTTAAACAAAATTCCTAGAATAAATAGAAAGCTGTTCTCAATATCTTGATTATAATTTACTCGTAGTTTGAGGCGTGCTTAAACCATGTAAATTAATTCTGAAGCTAAATGAATTGTCGTTTATACGATTTCATCAGATTTAATTAACTGTAACTTACCCTAAATTAATATACTTTACTATATCTTGAGTAAGATCTTTTCTGTAAGCAATGGTAAATGTATGAGGATGGAAGGTCTCTCTAGAAAAGTAGAAGGTTGCTCCACCCATATCTTTACAGTTTTTTCCAATGAAATATTTTAAACTAACTGGATCAGCCAAATATACAGATTTTCCCAATGCTACTTCTTTCAATACTGCCTTAGAATACATTTCATAGGAGAAAATAAGACCATTTTTCTTTTTTATAATTTCCCACAGCTTCTGAATGGTCTCGCTACTAGAACTCTAAATAAACATGTTAATTATTCAGTTAAAATTATTTAATTTACATGTAATTAACTAAATTACCTTGAGATATGTCTCATAAGCTGTGCCTTTCATTATTATAGGACGTATGTAAGGCCTGTCGATAAGATCTTGAACAGAATCGATCCTCTCAGATTCAGGACGAAGCAACATCTGTGCTTTCATGTTACTACTGAATCCATTCATTAATACTATAACAGCCATCCACCATATTATTAAAACTATGCGAACCGAAATGTAAGTAGGAACCGTGGGCATACCTGTGTAGAGACTTTCATTAAATCAATTATTTAAGGTAAGTAATTTTACCTTCGTTATATATCTTACTTTCACAAAATGCAGTACCCAGATATGCCCAAAAGTATCTTATCAGTTTTGATTTTAAGGTGATCATTCTTTTACTTCCGCATTCTAATAGAAACTCCATAAAGCTTGAAACGATTATTGTTGCAATTAAAGAAATAAGAAATAATAACCAAACCTGCAAGAGAAAACACAAATTAATTAAAATTTTACAGGGTAGGTATTCCGTTTATTTTTAAAATTATAGAAAATTCATCAGAAGCATGGAATGGAGTGGTGGGATGAGGCAATGCAACACACGGGCGATCTGCCAAGAAAGATGCTTCCCGGAAAAACTGGTTCCTATTTAGGTTAAGACCCGGAAAATTCCGTTTGGCCAGCCCTTAGATTAGGCACGAACCCACATCCAACCACCAGTATTCAATGATTTTATCCATTTATTTTTTTTATCCATGGGTGCATGAAAGGCCTTCTTAGAGAAGAAAAAGTTTAAGAAATTCATAAGAATAAGCTACTGTAATTGTTTAGCAATACTATCACATTTTTTACTTTTAAACACAATATTTAAGTCATCTAATGAATTAACAACAACGGATACTTCAATAATTGAGGCTTCCAACAATTTTCCTTATAGGTTTTACATATTTTATGGCCAACGCCAAATTTAATTAAATTTATATTTTAAAAAATCAAAAAATATTGATTTTACTTTCCAATCGAAGGTGAGAATGTATCCAAAAACATTCTCACGCGACTCTTTCATGTTGCCACCCAAAATAGTAAGGTGCATCATTTGAAAAAGTTTAGAAAAATTAGCAACTCTTCGCCTTTCGTAAGTAATAGTAAGAGGGCCTAAAGCTATATCTGTTTCCTAAAAAAAGAAGGAAAAAAGGTGTTAAATTTTAATTTAAAATCTTTAAATGTGCGCAATTAAAAGAATACCTAATCTATTTACATTTCTACTCAGCATTCCAATCAATCCTGTAAAACTTCCATTGGGTAAAAGCGTTCCCCATTGTTTATCAGCAGGAATAAGCATTGTATAACTAGAAAAGAATCGTAGAAATTTGAGAAATTATAAATTTACGGCTGTAGAATTCTACAAAAATTTCAGTGCTAAGTCGAGTTATCTCTAAAGAAAACCATACTTAAAGCGAGCATATCGAGACATTATATCTAAAACTTTCTTCATGTATCCTCCTGTGATGTAAACTTTCTCTCCTTGATAATATGCATCTGTCCATGGTAACCACTAAAGAAGAAGGAAAACATTAACTACGTAAGAACTTACAAACTATTAAGCAAAAGCCAAAATATATTAACTGTATTGAAAGCAACTCTCAGATTATAGAACGGTTTGTCAGAACTCTCAAGTTTTGCCACGCCAAACATAAATATAAATATGATAAATTTCATGATTGACACAGAAAATAAACGAAACGATTAAAGAATTTAAAGCTTATTTACCGAGTTCTTTTATATAAATATATTTGAAAAAATGGGAGGGTTTTTCGTCTCGCGATAATCAATTTCTTCTATGACATGATGATGATTGATCATGATGCATTATATCTTATGGAAGATGCAAGATGTGATTTTTCAATTTGTCACTTTAAAATTATTGCTAATGGATGTTAAAAGTGTTCCAGAAAAATAAATTGAGCTCTTAGAAAGTTTGATAACAGACTTTTACTACTTTCTTTTTTATTTAAAGCACAATAATTACACTTTAAAACTCCATACAAGAAAGTAACAGATGTTTCAATACACGCAATTAATGGAGAATTTAAACATCAATTTATCGAATTTTTCTACTATATCGTTTTAGGAGCATTTAAACATCAATTTATCGATATTCTTCCTGATACATTTGTAGCAATGTTTTAATGATTATTTCGAAAATTTAGTATAAATGCGTTTTATTCTGTTAAAAGCCCTCTTAGAGAATCGAATTATATTTCTAATATTCTCCAATATTAACACAATAAAACAAAAAGCAGATATCAAGAGATATAATATAAAAAACCCTTCTAAATCAACTAAAGTTAAAGGCTTTTCTTCTTGGTTCGCATCTTGTTGGGTGCACTTGGTCCAATTGTAATTGGTACGAGCCGCCCATCTACTTACAATGTTGCTTTGCATTACCCAATTAACCCTGAAATTCAGATGTTAAATTAATATATTTTTGTACAAAAATATGGGGGAAAACTTGAAATACTAACCTCTTACTAATTTCTCTTCCAAGTTCTTTAGGTAATCTCTTATTTAGAGCCATTGCAAATGGATGTGGAAAGAAGTGTTGATTGCCAAAATAAAACAGTCCTTCAGATAAATCGGAACATTTTCTAGCTAATGCGTCTTGCATGGACCAGTAATCATTGACTACAACTACTTCGGTTCTCAGCACCCGTTTCAACGTTTCATAACTGTACATTTCTTCTAACACTCGCCCATTTGTGCTGACTATCCTCCTCCAAAATTGCTGAAACTCTTCAGTTTGTGTATGCTATAAAAATTTACACAGTGTACGGTTGATAAAAACATAATTTTAAACTTTTAACTACTATATATAGAAATTTAGTACTGTATTTCTATATACCTGTATGTAAGTTTCATATGCAGATCCTCTCATTATATAAGGTTGAATCTCTTTCCTTACAAGAACATCTCCAATTGATTCAATTCGCGGTATTTCTTCTTCAGTCATCAACTTTGCTTTCAAATTTCCACTAAATCCATTCATCAGAACGATGATTGCTAGCCACCATACCAGAACTAAAAACTTAGCAGATGTCTGAGTTGGAGTGGTGGGAGATGCTGTAAATATTTTTCAAATTTAATTTACTGTAGTAAGCAGGAAAAAAATTTAAAAATACCTTACACTCGCAAAATAAATTGCTGAAGTATACCCAAAAGTGGTACATATATCTCGATTTAGCCTTCTCCCATGATCTCCATTTAATATTATGTACCATATCAACAGCAGTCATGCCCAATGATAATGTTACCCAAGATAAGAAAATTCCAAACCAGATCTATGAAAATCATTATTAAGTTAAAAAAACAATCCATTAAACAAAGAATCATTATTATTCTTCCCACCTCCCATCCAAAAGTTAATATATAACTGAAGAAACTAGGATGGTGATCTTTTAATCTTCCTGCCATAACAGCTAAATAATTACTAGTGAAGAGATGAGTGTAGTCTACTACTTGAGCACGAAAATATGTAATTGCGAATGGACCCATAGCTATGTCAGCTTCCTATAACAATAATAATGTTCACATTTAAACAGCATTAACGACTGAATGTCGATTATTTGTACTTACATCACGCTGAAGCATACCAATCATTCCAGTCCAATTTCCGTCTCCAACAGGAGCACCCCATTGACGATCAGCAGGTGTAACTAGCGAGTAACTTCAATAGAGTAATAATGTGTTTAATAATTGTTAGAATTATCACTTATCTACTAAAAATGTTTACCTGAAATTCATAACAGTAGACAAAATGTTTAACATTTCTGATAAATGGCCGTAAATTCCTTGGACCTTATTACGTTTCACATGAATTCCCATCCATGGAAACCACTGTAAATTAATTAAATATGTAGAATGTTTTGTTAACAAAAAGCTGTATTAAAGATTTTATTACTTGTTAGCAGAAATAATATTTTGTAAGGGTTGGAATCATTACGGACCCTCCCTCTTGTTGGCGTAGTTCAATTAAAAATTAAGAACTATGGCCACAATTACATTAATTTACGAAGATATATTGTCTACCAGTGGCCGAATGGATAAAACCACTGAACACTGGTAGTTAGTGGCATGGGTTCGCACTTCACCAACGGGTGGGCCACGTGGAGTTTTCCGGAATTTCTTTTTATGGGTTTTTTCTTCACGGAAATTTGCCCCTATTTCCCATTGAACGTCATCACGGATCTTTTTTAAATAATAAATTTTTCCAGAATTAAAGATTCTTTTCTTAATATGCAAGAAATTCGATGAAATAAGCTCCCGTAAATGTGAGGTCTGAGCCAAATATTCTGCTGGACCTGAAGTGAAAGTGCTGCCATTACAGAGGGACCAAATCTACGTAGATTCAATCAGTAAAGATAAGGATTAAGATAAAGCAATAAACTTTCGTTAACTTATAAAAATTAGTTGAATTAATGACATTCTTTGTAATTTTAAGGTTAATTTACAAGTTAATATTATATCAATATTTAATTTATTACAGTATGTAATGGAATAAACGAAGTGAGAGGCTAAGGCAACGCAATATATGGACCAAGGAGGAATGCCTCCCGGTAGGACTTTCTATGGGAAACTCTCTATTTAGTGTTAGACACGTAAAGAAAATTCAGAAAACTTTACGTGGCCAGCTATTTGATGAGATAAGAGCCTGGAACCTCAATAGAACCACGGTTCAGTAATTTTATCCATTCGGCCACTGTTGAGTACAATAGTTTCTTATTTTTCCATTAAAAATTTTTACTTTTTCTACATAACTATTTACAGTAAAACTATTTAAAAAAAGAACAAAAACTGTGTCTTAATATATTTTTATCCTTAAAAGTATATCTATTCAGTATCTATTTATTTAAACATTAGGTGATATAAATATTTTAAAGCTTTTACACAGAAAGCTTCAGAAAAAAAAAACAAAAAACATTTATCCAACTTACTTGTGCAACAGATACTCTAAAATGTAATCTTCCATCTTGATAAAAATCGGAGAGAGCTTTCCTATGGAATAAAAAAAAAGGAAAATTAAGTGTCTCAACAATGACATCTCAGAAATGTAATGGGTTATATACAATATACTTTGTCCAGTTCAAGTGTAACATCTTTATATAATAATGGCTCAAATTGAATTTACTCTTATATAAATACACAGATGATATTGACTAGCCCACTTCTTTTTATTGAATAACTATTAAGAAATTCAATTTACTGGAGTAAAATTGAATTTTCTATTGAAGCAGCCGATTATTTATGAGAAAAATCTTATGGGAAAATATGCATTTGGTATTTTTAAAGAACTTTTTATAGAATTTTTCCTTTTCTTAAATTTAATTACTGCTTCTCTCCTGATATTATTTAAGATTTTGATTTTATAAGGTTTATACTTAATTCAATTCTAGTTTGAAGTATCTGTAACAACTGGTATCAGTAATATAAAATGATNTCTACAAATTAATTTTTATTTCTTTTATTTATAAAAATATATAACTCATATTATATATTGCCAAGTAATCATTAAACCTAAAAAACACACAATATAACTAAACAAAAGTTTTGCTGGCCAGCCAGCAGTTTATTGAAGTCATAAATCATACAAGATAAAGTATAATTTTTCAACAATATATCTCATTGCTGTATATAACTTGTGAAAAAACATCATAACATTCCAATTCTACATTTTTTTTGTACTTCTGCTTAACATCTTCGTAAACAATTCTATAAAATCTGTCGGACGTGTGCAGAACGTAAAATGCTAATATTCTGCTGTTTGAACAACTTGAGCATCGGACGATCAGCTATTTCACTCCTAACATACACTTCTGACTAATATTTTGCATCGGCTTAAACTATACTTCAATTTTTATTTAAGAATTCTAAATATATTTGATGTCTTATGTCTAAGTTTAATTATTACTGACTACATCCAGTTTTTTTCTTTTTTTATGCTTCTGTAGTTATAAAATTTTTTTTATAAATTTTAATTAAAGTTTTAATATATAACTCGTTGATATTATTAACATTTATAAATAAAGAAAGCACAATGCCAAATAAACTTTATATCAATATCAAAAATTATAAATATGCTATATTAAATTATTGCTAAAGCATAGATTAGGGCCATTCATCTTTTTGAAACTTCCAATAGAAAAAACTAACATTAAAACGTTGTTACTTTTTAAATAATAAAATTTGATAAAAATATTTTTTATACATGAAAAATGCAGTGCAACAAATAATTTGTAACAAATGAGGCCTAAAATTGGTAAATTATTATATAAATTTTTTTGTATTCTTAAAGAAAACCCTAAAGGAAACTGAATTCGTTTACAGTTGCTTTATCATATACAAAACTTACCTATATACAGGCATACATAATGGCAGATACTGCCTCCAGACAAGATGCCAAGGGCCTTAAAATTATATTTTTGAGCAAAAAGATAAGTGTTCACAAAAATTTTAGAGGCATATTAAAAGGTGATTATAAAACTTATTATTTAAGGATTTTATTGTCCACGGATATATAAAAAACTTTTACAAAGGGCCTCAAAAGATATGTTACTGGACATAGTTTCTCTTTCAATTTATATTATTTTCCTTGCTACCATTTTATTGGGGAAAATTGCTAATCTATACTATATCATTTAATTGTTTTCATATTTTATACTACATTCTATTTATTTCATATTTAAATATCTAAAGAATTCTTTTAAAAACAATTATCCTATAGAAAGATTAGGAAAGCTGTGATTGTAACTTTCAGAATGCAAATTATGTATGTCAGGAGTTTTAGAGAAGGCTACAGTGTTACTACCCCAGATTTTTATTGCTTAAAATGTTTCTATTTATTTATTTAAATTTTATTATTTTTATGTTGTTTTATACAATATATTTTAGATAATTATTAACCTTCATAAAACTATTACATGAATTGAATATACTGCCACCTCACAAGATTTGCTCTGGATCCTCTTTTGGATGATAGATTCCATTTAAAATTCCATTCAACAGTTATAAATATTGAAATATTCTGTTGATTTAATAGTCTTAATTTAATTACTTTGCTCAAAAACCAAAATGATAATATATTAATAGTGTGTCAAAATCAAGTTATTTTTCTATTTTGATATCTAATATTTTAAATTTTATTGATAATTAAATTAAATAAAAGACTATTAATGATTTCTTTAGTGTGCAATTTTTAAAATTTTATTTATAATGTTTTCTTGATAAGTTAACTAATATTAAGTGTTAAAAACAAGTTTTCAATACATTAATTAAAGTTACAAAATTCTAATACTGTATATCATTTTTTAATAATCATGAAAATAATAAACAACATACAGTATATATAAACATTTTTTTTATTTATTTAAAAAATTTATTTATTTACTTTTTTACTATTTACAAAATTGATTTATTTTAAAAAAACAAAAAATTTTGTTAAATAAATCAATTTTGGAATATTTAAATAATCTGTAGCACATTATGATGATGTTATTTAAAAAATAATTTAACACTTTTAATCATGAACAATAAAATGTTTATAAGTTTGAATAAAACAACAACAAAACTATTACTGAGCTGTAAGAATTAAACAGGAAAGCTTCTTATACAAAAACATTCTATTTTATTTTATTTTTATAGTTAAATCTCATCATCCACCTCATTCCAGCTATATTATTATTTTTTCTTTATATTTAAATTCTTTTCAAATTAGTATTACTACTGAATATTTCTACTAACTAAATCACTAATTAATATCATATGTTAATGATTGGATATAATTAACAAATTTTGGGCATGTTGCCTAAGTAAAGCAACTATAACACAACTGGATAAGCAAGGCATTTGACTTAGTCCATGGTTTGCTTATCCAGCTGTATTAAAACCACTGTACTAGGCAATGCACTCATTAATTCCATTAACTACTTGTTTATAATAAAAATTTCATTTTAAAACTTTATAAATCAAAATATTATCATTCGCAATCTACAGTTCTGTTTTATTACACATTGATTTATGTAATGTGCACATAATTAATAATAGAAATAATTTCATGATGTTGAAACTGATGATGAAACATTCTGTAAATTTCAAAACTGATATTTTTAAAAATTTGATAAGATTTTAGATTTATGATTAACCAATCTGATTGAGTAAATGCATATTTCTTTACATATTTCTTTAAAAGTTGAATAAACTATAACTACATAAATGTCATGAAATATTCAGATAGTTATTTTTGAAAAATTTACTGTTAAAATAATAAATTTTCATTTACTTTGTTAATTGAATAAAAAAAAAACTAAAGAATACATCAACTGCTACATAAATACAGACTTTAAAATATGTTCTACAAATTAATTTTTATTTCTTTTATTTATAAAAATATATAACTCATATTATATATTGCCAAGTAATCATTAAACCTAAAAAACACACAATATAACTAAACAAAAGTTTTGCTGGCCAGCCAGCAGTTTATTGAAGTCATAAATCATACAAGATAAAGTATAATTTTTCAACAATATATCTCATTGCTGTATATAACTTGTGAAAAAACATCATAACATTCCAATTCTACATTTTTTTTGTACTTCTGCTTAACATCTTCGTAAACAATTCTATAAAATCTGTCGGACGTGTGCAGAACGTAAAATGCTAATATTCTGCTGTTTGAACAACTTGAGCATCGGACGATCAGCTATTTCACTCCTAACATACACTTCTGACTAATATTTTGCATCGGCTTAAACTATACTTCAATTTTTATTTAAGAATTCTAAATATATTTGATGTCTTATATCTAAGTTTAATTATTACTGACTACATCCAGTTTTTTTCTTTTTTTATGCTTCTGTAGTTATAAAATTTTTTTTATAAATTTTAATTAAAGTTTTAATATATAACTCGTTGATATTATTAACATTTATAAATAAAGAAAGCACAATACCAAATAAACTTTATATCAATATCAAAAAAGCTGCATAGAATATACTTTTCATTGCATAAAAATTGATTTTGTGTTATTGAAAAAGCTAAGAATGATATAAAAAAAATCATATTCAAAAATATTTTTGTTGTAAATTTTAGGCAACCACAACAAAACTATATTTGCAATATACATTTATGTATAAAATATATCGGCAGCATAAAAGAAACCTATAGCTTAATTGGTCCGTGGAAGGTTAATCATGCCGATTCTTTCAAAATGGCTTATTTGATATATATTTAAGTATGCCAACTTTGCTAAGCATATAAACGGTACTCAAGTATAAAAAGAAACTTACTCCTTATCATAATTTCAAACTGTCCGTTATCAAACGATCACCAGTATACATTTAATACATTTTATACGTAACACTCAATTAGAATGTATGTTAAAAGTTTAGGGAATCTTTGGCGCGTTATCCCGTATATTTCCATATAAATAATTATATCTTGGTTAAAAAAGAAGGCAAGAATACTGACGTGCAAACTAAGTAACACACAATCTGCAATATTCATTGTCAAAAGACATTTGTGCAAATGACAATCATGGTTTACACAGTATCATTGTTTACATTCTGTGCCTAGCAACCTATTTACATAATACTCCACAATTAGAATAAATTTTGAATATATTTAAAAACCTAAAAATATAATTAGTGTATATTTATCATCAATACTCTGTTAAGCACATTGACTAAAATAATACTTTTCAGAAAAAGAAACTGAAGACAAACACTTCTGCTTCTTTAAAGTTATATATATATTCGGTTACGTATCATATAAATTTCTAATATAATAAATATATTTTATCTTTCAAATAAAATTATAAATTGATGATAATTTCATAATTCATTGCAACTAAAAACCTGAGTTTCAAGATTATCTGAGTATTTGAACAGTGACATTTTTGGCCATATTTTGTGCTTATATAAGTTATCAGTGATTGATGTTCTGCATGGATTTGTCACATGCCACGAAGAAATGATGGATCCACGGAGGCAACTTTGGCAGTGAGAAAGGCATGCATGCAATATAGAAGGCTCTGCAAGGCTGGACATTCTAATTCCTAAAAGAAATTTCACTTTTTTAAATCAAATATTCAGTATAAATATTTCATAAAAAAATAATTCACATACTTTTGATTCAATTACTTTTGTTTCTAAATTCTGGAAATGCAAATTTAATTTTGTTTTCCCATCATCTGAAGAACCTTTTAATTGAGAGAATCGGTAACTCCAAGCATAACACTAAAAAACATATTAATTTTTTTATTAATAAGTAGTACTGAATTTAAAAATCAGGGAACAAATCTTAACTTTAAAATTCTATACTTTCATTAAAATTAAACCATTCTTTTATTAATTGAAACATTAAATGCAATTAATTAAATATTTAATTATAAAAAAATGCACCTTTGCTTCGGTATCATAAAGAGCAAATCCCATATTCCAGTCTAAAGTGAGACCACCTGTTTTGCCTTTATATATTACAGAAAATGTTTTACTCTGAAATAAAAAAAAAATTTATATTATTCTTAAAATAAAAATATAATAATAATAATTTTAATAATAATAATAATAATAATAATAATTATAAAAAAATAAACCAAGAATATAAAGATGAGTATTCATCTACATAAATATATGTCTAATGAAACTACAAATTATTGATGATACGCTACTATTGGAAAAGATGTAGTTAATTTGGAAATCTCTCCAATTAATCAAGAGATTGGTGATGACAAGTTTGTGTTTGAATAATGAGATTATAAATTAGTTACTAACCAAAGCAAATGATGTTTGAAGCAATAATGCAATAGATTTAACAACTGAAAATAATTCTATAATATTAAAAAATTTAAGTAAACAGTTTTAACTTTTAATCACTATCAAAAAGCAAACAGTCTAATGGAAAATGAGTGCTCTGATTCTTTTATGTAAATTATGTTAATTATGTAGGTGACAATAAATTATCCTCTTTCACTTGTAATATTGATTATATAACCTTACATTAAATGTAAGATTAACTAGTTAGATTGAAAGCTTGTTTTATATTGTAAAACATCTATTTTATGTCTATAGATAATTTTTTAAGGAAAATACTAAAATTAAAATTTTGGCAATTCAACAGCTTATTTCCACTTATAAACAGTTGTTCTACAATTCTTTAAATAACTCAATTATTAATTCTACATAGAAAATTTTATATTTAAAATAACTTACACCTAATTTAGTTACAGCATTATAAGTTGCTCGATGCCAGGCAGTTTCTATCCTGAGAAGATCGGCTTTTGTTTCTGCACACAAATAATGAGTTTCAGATGTTCCAGTTTGAATCATAAAGCAGTTCTGTCGCTCGTCAACAAATTCTGATTCCTTTAATAATAAAATCTTAATTAGTATATTACATAAATTAATCAGTTTTAAAGTAATCTACTTACTTTTAAACACCTAAACATGGACTGATATACTTTATACACAGAAGAGCAATTTGTAAAATCTTGAAGTGTTTGCTATGATAAGAAATAAAAAGTATAATCAACTAAAGTGCAAGACCATGACTTCACATAAAAATATTGACTAATTATTACAAATACAAATTAAATACTATACAACATGTAGTATCTCTAAATTCTCAAATTAATTCATTTTTCTTGTGGCATCAGAGGTGGGCTATCCATAAATTACATCTGAATTTTTCATGAAATTTTTACTCCCACTCCTCCTCTTGTCCCAATTTGTCCAAGTTTCTGTAACTCTCCCTCCCCTCTTTGGACGTCCTACAAAACTCAACCCCCCCTTAAAATCTATCACTTTTTGAATGATAGATACCGTAAGTAGAAATGAAACATACAATAAATTTTTTACTAACTATAATAAAATGCATAAACTGCATAAAATTTAACTAGAACATTGCACTACTTTGTCATATTGTGATAGAAGTGAAGCAGAGCATGAAAGAAAGAAGCAATCCTTGCACTTGTTAGGTACAGTACAGAATAGGTGATACTTGTACCTGACGGTTGTGGACAGGTAAACTTTATACTTGCTGCCACACAAGAAGCTATCCTCATACCTGCTGACACAGAGAAGTGATCCAAGAACAAAGCAAACTCCATCAATTGCTTTGTTTTTATGTTTTATTTGTTTCTGCACCTATTTTCCATTAGGCACATGCAATACTGATTTTATTTCATTATCCTATAACTATCCCCTAGACCTAAATTTCATTTGGCATATTCAGATGTATCAGAGAGTACAGACACAGAGAGTCAGTTTAATCCAGCTTTGTATATCGAAAACAAAGTCACGGAACTCTACTTTTTAAATTTAAATTAACCATTATTACATTTTTGGATTCCTCATCACAATTAAAGGAAAATGGCAAAGTTTAATCAAAATTGATTGATCAATTTTGAGAATGAACACATTCTGTAAGCCACACAGAAGAGGCTTTGTTAATGCTACACCTCAATGAAATACAGTAGAGCATCGATTATCCAAATGCTGATGAACCGAAACATCGGTTAACCAAAACCATTCCAGTCGGACTGTGTTGTGCTGAATCAAACGTTTTTGATACTAGATTAACTTCTAAAGTATAATTTTTTTTGTTTTCATATTTTTTAATATATTTATTTTGTTTGTACAAAAGAAAGAAATAATTTTTAACGATACGATAGACATGATTATTATTATAAAAATTTTCGTTATGCTTAACATCAACGAAATTCAATGTGAAGCAACACGCATTGGAAAAAAATTTAAATGGAAAAATTGGAAAAATGGGATATATTAATATACTATTATTGGGATATACTAATACAGTAGACCCCCTATAACATAGTTGATACGTTCCGTATTTTATGAATTCCATGTTGTACGATTCAATTAATTAATTAATTAATTTAATTAAATACATGAGCCAATCACAGCCTGGCACGTATGCAGTTTAGGGACTACGGCTGTTTGAAAGGTTTTTTTCATAAAATTAATTGATTCTAGACTAATTTGATTCAACATTTCCAAAACACGTATAATTTTTTGGGAATAATCCATATAAACTATGCTATAAACAAAAAATTGTAGGATTACTTACCAAGTGTGCACCATTCGACGACACCATTGCTTAAGCTTGTTTTCATCGCAGAGCGGTGCATCGAATGGCGGGGTGTTTCCTTCTAAGTTATTTTTCTGCGAAAAATTCACTGAACTTTGGAGACATCATTGACATAAATATAATTTTTATGGCCGTTAAATAATAAATGGTTTTTAGTAGGTCCGCTGCTCATTTAAACTCAATGGTTTGTGCAATATCCGCTATTGGTCTAGATTTCCTGTCACAACACGAGTCGGCAATGACGTTTTACTATATTATACCACTCTCTTTTAGTGTGTTTATATGAATATAATCGCAATTTTTTCGCCGTTTTAAACAAATCCATATTATATGAACCTGTGTTAAAGGGGGTCTACTGTATACTATATTAATAATGTATTTTTTCGTACATAATCGGTTATCCAAAAATTCGATTTTCTGAACAACCCCTGTCCCCAATTGATTCGGATAATCGACGCTCTACTGTAAATGGACATCTGCTGAAGCTCAACCCTCTGTTCCCTCTTGTCTGACTGCTTGTGGTAACTGTTTCCCTCCCTTCCAGTGTGAACATCATTTATGGACAGTTTGTTTTGTATTAATTTGAAACAGTTAAACTTAGTTGTGACAAAATTACAAGACTATACCCTATTTGTTTTGCTAATTTCATTCATTTAAAAAAAAGTGAGCTAAAAAACAGGACAAACAAATGTAGATCAGATAAATTAAATCTATTATAAAAAGGAATTAAAAAGGAATGATCAGAGAATATTTTGGTATAGATAAAAGAATTTTGAATTAAAAAAAATAAAGCAATTCTGATGGATATTCTATTTTAATTAGCTTCTCTAATATAAATTGTTGTAAAGACAAAAATAAAAAGTGCTGAATATAGTAAGTATAACATAAGTAATAGCAGCTATAAAAGTTCTGCCAAACAATAACCTTCATTAAAATCCAATAAAAATATTTTTCCCAAAACAAGATTAAAAATATATTAAAACCCAGAAAGGAATACTGAAACTTGAAGAATATTCAAAGTTACACTACAACAGTTATTTAATGAATATAATCTTTAAACTTGTGAAATTAGTATATTATACTTTATACACAGAAGAGCAATTTGTAAAATCTTGAAGTGTTTGCTATGATAAGAAATAAAAAGTATAATCAACTAAAGTGCAAGACCATGACTTCACATAAAAATATTGACTAATTATTACAAATACAAATTAAATACTATACAACATGTAGTATCTCTAAATTCTCAAATTAATTCATTTTTCTTGTGGCATCAGAGGTGGGCTATCCATAAATTACATCTGAATTTTTCATGAAATTTTTACTCCCACTCCTCCTCTTGTCCCAATTTGTCCAAGTTTCTGTAACTCTCCCTCCCCTCTTTGGACGTCCTACAAAACTCAACCCCCCCTTAAAATCTATCACTTTTTGAATGATAGATACCGTAAGTAGAAATGAAACATACAATAAATTTTTTACTAACTATAATAAAATGCATAAACTGCATAAAATTTAACTAGAACATTGCACTACTTTGTCATATTGTGATAGAAGTGAAGCAGAGCATGAAAGAAAGAAGCAATCCTTGCACTTGTTAGGTACAGTACAGAATAGGTGATACTTGTACCTGACGGTTGTGGACAGGTAAACTTTATACTTGCTGCCACACAAGAAGCTATCCTCATACCTGCTGACACAGAGAAGTGATCCAAGAACAAAGCAAACTCCATCAATTGCTTTGTTTTTATGTTTTATTTGTTTCTGCACCTATTTTCCATTAGGCACATGCAATACTGATTTTATTTCATTATCCTATAACTATCCCCTAGANATTTTACTAATTTCTTTATATTTAATAAATTATCACATTTCATTTTTTTTACATATAATACAATATACATGATTTTGAAACAAATGTAAGTTATTGCTTCTTTTCTAAAAAATTTTTATTGACTTTTTATATATTTTTGGCATTTTCTTAACTAGCATCTAAAAACATTCTATAAAAGTGTTTTCTCTGTTATGAAACTGATGACTACCTTTGAATGAGTAACAATAAAATTATCTTCTGAAAGGGGAAATGTAATTTGTTTATTTATTACATGTTAAGAAATTCTGTAATCCACTACAAAAGTATAGATTTATAAAATTTCTCTCTTAATAAAACTTAATTTATTTATTTATATTATATTATGTAATATTTGAGCAAGCTTTGTTTATTGAAAAATGAAGTTAAATGTACAAAGAGAAAAGTGAATTACTTTTTACTTTCCCTATGTTGTACAGGGTGTCCATAAAGTCCATGTGCAATTTAACTTTATTAGTATTTGTAATAGAAAAAAAATCTGTAAGAAGCATTAGAAAGCTTAATGTACATAGTTTTAAGTAAAATTATTTAGTAATAGATTGGAAGAGGGAGACAATTTTCCTGACTTCCATGTTTGCCATACTTGACTTCATTAATTTTTTTTTATGGGGCATGTGAAAACCCAGTGGCATGCCGTGACATTTGACGATAGGGAAGCTGTGTTTCTGTAAGAAGCCAACTTCCGGGAGCAATCAGTTAATTGCACGTCAGTGATGGTCTAGGGCAGGGCTTCTTAAACTATTTTTATTCACGACCCCATTTATTTGATTGTGATTTTTTTGCGACCCCAAAAAATATGAAATAAAGATATATACAAATTTGCAAAACCAATAATGGTGTACTACCACAGTTCACTCTTGTGTTACAATGGAACAGAGACAACTGAATACACTGAAAAGCTACACTACTACACTAGTTCACACTACAATCAGTGTTGCTGAATCATTGTCTCACTGCACCAGAAGTGACACAAAGCGCAACTCACAAAATCTATGACACAAAGCACGCCATTTTCAAATTCTCACGAATTATTTTCAAAATTTTGCATTAAAATCTTGCGACCCCCNATATTAAAACCCAGAAAGGAATACTGAAACTTGAAGAATATTCAAAGTTACACTACAACAGTTATTTAATGAATATAATCTTTAAACTTGTGAAATTAGTATATTTTGAAAAAATAATTAATGATAAATTATTATATATCAGTTACAGAAAATGTGAGCTGAATTAATTTGATCTTTGTGTAATTCATTAATAATATTTAAGTATAGTATTGTTATTTTACTAATTTCTTTATATTTAATAAATTATCACATTTCATTTTTTTTACATATAATACAATATACATGATTTTGAAACAAATGTAAGTTATTGCTTCTTTTCTAAAAAATTTTTATTGACTTTTTATATATTTTTGGCATTTTCTTAACTAGCATCTAAAAACATTCTATAAAAGTGTTTTCTCTGTTATGAAACTGATGACTACCTTTGAATGAGTAACAATAAAATTATCTTCTGAAAGGGGAAATGTAATTTGTTTATTTATTACATGTTAAGAAATTCTGTAATCCACTACAAAAGTATAGATTTATAAAATTTCTCTCTTAATAAAACTTAATTTATTTATTTATATTATATTATGTAATATTTGAGCAAGCTTTGTTTATTGAAAAATGAAGTTAAATGTACAAAGAGAAAAGTGAATTACTTTTTACTTTCCCTATGTTGTACAGGGTGTCCATAAAGTCCATGTGCAATTTAACTTTATTAGTATTTGTAATAGAAAAAAAATCTGTAAGAAGCATTAGAAAGCTTAATGTACATAGTTTTAAGTAAAATTATTTAGTAATAGATTGGAAGAGGGAGACAATTTTCCTGACTTCCATGTTTGCCATACTTGACTTCATTAATTTTTTTTTATGGGGCATGTGAAAACCCAGTGGCATGCCGTGACATTTGACGATAGGGAAGCTGTGTTTCTGTAAGAAGCCAACTTCCGGGAGCAATCAGTTAATTGCACGTCAGTGATGGTCTAGGGCAGGGCTTCTTAAACTTTTTTTATTCACGACCCCATTTATTTGATTGTGATTTTTTTGCGACCCCAAAAAATATGAAATAAAGATATATACAAATTTGCAAAACCAATAATGGTGTACTACCACAGTTCACTCTTGTGTTACAATGGAACAGAGACAACTGAATACACTGAAAAGCTACACTACTACACTAGTTCACACTACAATCAGTGTTGCTGAATCATTGTCTCACTGCACCAGAAGTGACACAAAGCGCAACTCACAAAATCTATGACACAAAGCACGCCATTTTCAAATTCTCACAAATTATTTTCAAAATTTTGCATTAAAATCTCGCGACCCCAAGATTTCTCTAAGCGACCCCAAATGGGGTTGCGACCCACAGTTTAAGAAGCCCTGGTCAAGGGTCTATTTGTATTCGTTTATTTGATAAGCCAATAAAAACCGTAGTCTTCTCTAAATGTATTTTTAATATCACAATCACATCCCGAATCGCTAGCCATGATATAAGGGCTAAAATTATAAATAAAATAATAAAAACTTACTTGGTGAAATAAAATGTGTGGTGGATATACTTACCTGGTACAAAATATTCTTCAATTGTATGAGTATACTTTTAAAGAAAATTATAATTAAATATAGCTTTGTAAAGAAACATACATAAAAATAGCAAAATATTCTTTACTTTTAAAATCTTAAAACAATTCATTTAGTCAAATAGCTCCCTACCATTAGCTAATGTTTGGGATCAGAGATGGTCCTGCAGTGTACGCATGACTTGGGCTGCCAAATCTCCAGGGTGCCGATACTGGTCAATTTCAAATACCTGTTTAGTCGCATCACTAGTATACCTCAAAGGATGCGACAGGGTTGTTGTAAATTTTAAACGTTTCTCGCCATAGCTGTAAAAATCTAAATATTTAACCTTAATAAATTGTTCATTGTTTGTTTTCTAACTAATTCATTTTAGGACCAGGTGGTGTCACGGAAATTTCCAGAATTTACTTTTCAGTCACTCTCATTGAACTGGAAAAATTTCTTTATTACATCTAATATTATAAAGAAATCAGTCCTCACTGTACTTGGCTAAAGATTGGTATGATTAAGCTTTTGTTTAAATATTCCGGCTCTTTCAGCAGGGTTTTATTTATGACCCTAATTTCCTAATCTCTTAATTATTTAACTACTTCTTAAGTAGAAATAAGTCGAAACCAGTTACTTTGTACTCAAATATTTGTAGTCTTGGGGAAAAAGTGGAAAGACAAATTTTTATGACAATGGATACATAAATTGTAAATTTAAGGAAAATAAATTCTAGAGCTTTTTCTGTACCTTGTGCATCTCTCTCATTCATTGAATTTAGTTGTAAATGATGCTACCAAAGTAACAGTTAATTTTTTAACATTGTACAAGAATTGTACATGTACCCTTAAAGATGGGACACACGAAATCATATCACTGGTTAACATTGAAATCCATAAGTAATGTTTGATATTTTTATTCCGCTCTCCCATCTTATATTTTAATGGATTTTTTTAAACTCCTGTCAACTATACAGAACTATCATAAAAACATACCAGTAAATTCTTATCGGTTGGGTTAAGTTATAAATCTACTCATGATTCACATAATCGGGCGAGGGTGGCCAAATATCTAGCAGGCGGGTGACTAACAGTCCAGAACCGGTCCTGGACAGAATCATTGGAAGCGTTATACGTGTGTAGCTTCCACCAGCTAAACCTGGTGAGGTTGGTGGTCTGTAAAGTGCATGCATGAATGAATATAATCTGGCTGCTTGGAAGCAGACAATAGAGCGCTTCCATTCCGCCACTGATATTCGAATATACAATAGCAATCTTATCTTTTTTTTTCACATGTAGTATAGAAATTTGTAATAAGATACATAATGCGGTTATAATAAAATATTACCATAATTTTAATTATATGAAAATAATTGCACAATATGGATTTATTTTTTAGAAAATACAAGGGAAGTGGCGCTTCCACCGCTTCCAATGACAGCACGCTACTGATGCAACCAAACCTCAATCGTTAAAAGACTTGAAAGCTAAAATAACTAATGTGATTTCAAGCATTACTGTAAATCAGTTGGCAAATGTTTTTTAAAGAACTACAAAATCATATTACCCTTTGTATTAATAATGATGGTGGACATGTGGAAGCTTAATAAAGTACAATAAAACAATAAAAAAATATAAATTTTCTTATTTCCAATAAATTGTACATAATTTCTCTATCACAAATACTGATAAAGTTATAAATTTTTTAAATTGCACATGGACTTTATGGACACCCTGTATAAAACAAAGGAAAAGTAAAAAGTAACAAACTGCCATGCTTTCCCCTGTTATATATAAGATGAAAAGTATAGCCAATTGGTCGAAAAATGCCCCACCAAGATTTTTACATTTTTGGACTCAGGGCACCTTGAAACATTGAGAATTGAAAAAAAAAATTAGGATTCATTTTTTCTGTATGTATGGATGTTTGGGCACAATTTTGTTCACCCTCTGAAGTTTAATAACTCCTGTGCTTTTTGTTGAAAATTACTGAAATTTTGCAGGGAGGTTGAAATTTTGTTTATTAGGGAGACTGATGCTATTAAATTTTGGTGATTAAAGGGGGTTGGGAGATAAAGGGGATTGTGTGTATCTCCAGTAGGGTCAGACTTAAGAATTTTACTCATTATTAGTATTTACAATTTTTATAAACCCCATTCCTATCCTCATAATTTTTGCCATTTTATAATAGTTAAAACTATAAAAAGTTTCTAATAATAAAATATGATAACAGATGGCCCCACCAAATGTTGCCAGGAAAATTAAGCAATTCATTGCCAGATTTTTTCCCTATGAGTGGCCAAATCTATAATGGCATGAAAAAAAAAAAATGCCTTCTTAGGACCCAGAGGGCAGTAAGAGTTTAAAAATCTACTTTGAGAAATGTTAAAAAAAGCAGAATATATAAAAGTTAAAAGAATTTGTTTTCAATTTATTAATCTAAATCATGCTCAGCAAGGAGAAATAATTAATCACTAACCCATCTTATGTATCTTTAAAAAAAAGTTTTATAAAAATATCTAAGTATATACTGAGTTATATAAAATTTAACATATTATCAATAGAACCAAATTTAAAAATTACTTACAGGTGGAGTACTATACAAATAAAATTCAGCTCCTTTAAGTGCTAAACACCTCTGATGCCATTTATACCATGGTTGAGGAGCTAAAGTACCTTCATTTACCCAACCAAGATACAGTATCTGTAAAATTCAAATCTTGTAATAATGCAAAAACATTTAATTTATTATTAAAAGGTAAAACAAAATTGAAAATTTAACTATATGATTTTTTTAATCTTGTTATTTTTGTTGTATAAAATAGAAAGAAAATACCATAATTCCTTTAAAAACAAAATCAAATTTCTACCTTTATCCTTTAAAATTATTCTGAAATTTAATTATTAAATTATGAATATAAAACTTATATCATCTAATTTATATAATTATATTCATATCAATATTACTAACCTGGTCAGAAGGTGATAATGATTTGTTAAGGGACTTTATCTAGAAGAAAAACAATTCCAAAATTAATCAAAACTAAAAAATATTTTATATCAATATTATTATACATATTTTGTTTGTATGCATAAAATATAAACAGATACATGATGATAAATTAAAAAACTATATGCTAACTTATTTTCTATGCTACCAATGTATGCTGTAATCTGTAATGCTAACTTATATTTGATAGGGAGCTGAAACTTAATCCAACTTGGACTGCAATTCTAGTTCTACAGACAAATATACAAAAAACAGAAATTGTATCTGTGAGAAGAAATTCAGAAAATTAGAAAGTATTTATTCATTTTTACAAGAGAAATTATTGTCTGGACTAAATTAAATCTCAATTCTTCACTAGAGAAGATAATTGTAAATGATTTCCATGTCATTACTCTATTTTCTGATTATTTAATTTGAACTTCTATAACCAAATTTATTTTGTAAATGATTTTTGATAGCATATTGCTAATAAATAAAACATAACTTTTTTGTTTAAAATTTGTATCTCTGAAAAAGGATTAAATTATAAATCAATAGCACATGATTTCATCTCATTAATATTTCAAAAAACTCATTGTGGTTAGAAATGATAAATAAATAATATACAAATACTCAACAGAATAAAAAGACTCATTCTAATAATATTTATATTAATTTTCTTAGACATCTAAAGAATAAACAAATTTAGTAACTTTAATTAAATTTAAATTATGCATAAAATATTTCTAGTTTCCCAGAGGATAAAGCTACTGCTTATATATTTGTTTAATTTATAAAAATGAATCTTGAGTATACCAAAAAATATATACATGGTAGGTGCCAAAAGTTTCTAATTATATTTTAGACATGTTAGGAATAAAATAATGATAGTATCAGATAGCACTATCTGTATGTTGACTAATAAAACAGTTTTTCCTGACAATTTGCATAAGTCACTTGGAAACATTCATTTTAGTTAGACTTGTTGCATTAATTTGCATCATGTTTGCCTTTTGCAGGACAACACACCAGTGCACACAGCTGCCATTGTCAAGGCTGCTGTAAAAGAGTGTTGGTTCGAGGAGCTTGACCATTCACCCTACAGCCCAGACCTAGTTCCTAGTGATTATTTTTGTGTTTCCAAAACTCAAAAATGACCATAAAAAAAGTGATGAGTTGCAGAAGGCAGTTTATGAGCATTTTGCAGACAAAACTGCAGGCTATTTTTTTCAAGAGTGTTGAAATGCTAATTCCACAATGTTGAACTGCAAGGAGACTATACTAAAAAATGACATCATTGTTTTATACCTTTAACATCTAAAACATAGTTAGGCTGGAAACTTTTGTCACCTACCACATATATGCCTTCTCAAAAAATGGCCTTGTTTCCATCAACCACTGGAGATGATTCAGTATAGTTCATTTAAAATATATATTTATATACATATGTATATACAAAAATAATGCTTTTCTGAATAGATTTAGGAGTTGTTGAGAAGTTGTATTATTTTTGCATATGAATGTGGTAAGTGTCAAACAAACAGACTTAGAGAAGGTTTACAATGTGGTGTTGATATACTTTTGTGAACTAGTTGATATTTATTGGTAAACTCAAAATAAATTTCAAAAACATAATAAGTAACTCTATTTACCAATGCTAATGAACTTAAAATTGAAACAATTAAAATTTTACACTAGTATTTTTGACAGTTTTCATTTCTGTCATTGTCAGGCAAATTCAGAAGTCAAATGAAGTTGTCTGAATTTGTGTGTAATCTTTTCATTCTTGAATCCCACAAAACTTTATGCATTTCATAAAGTATGCAAATATATAAAAAGCAAATTGGAATATTTTATCTAATTTAAATTTAATATAGATATAATTCATAACATCTAAGTACCAATAATAATAAAACTTCATTTTTAATATATTTAATTTGAATAACAAAAATTAGATAATATATATATATATATTCAGTAAACCACATTTCCATCCAAAGAAAGTATTTGATGCTGAATGATAACTAAATACATCTTTTGTAACAAATTTTCCACCTGACTTTTGCTTTCTTCCTCTGATTGGATATGTGATTTATCTACTACAATAGATTACATTCTGAATGTTCTTTCTTTAATAATAAATCATAACAAAATAAACTTAGTAACTTATTTTCAATATTTCATATAGTATTTATCAAATCTTAAATTCTACTCTCTTACATGCTGAGTTGTAATTTGGAGAATATTATTAGAAATATGTTTGATCCATTCAGATAACATACTAGCATCGTCACAATGTACCACTGCTGAAGGTTTTCCATCCTGTGATTTTATTTCAAAAGCATTTGGCCTATTAAGTCAAAGTATATTAAATATGAAAAATGAAATTACAAATATATAATTTTTCTGAATTATAAACTTTTCCTACCTGAGTTTATCTGTATCTAACATGTAACGTGTGAGGTAAGCCATTAGCAGTTGTATTGTCATTACATCAACCCATTTTCTTTCCAGTCTAATTGGAACTGATGCCTGAGGTGTATGTGGACTTTTTGGAACCTAGAAACAGATGATAATTAAAAAATATACATTAAGTTTAATTTTAATAGGAATATAGTAAAACCTTGATAAGTCAAACTGCATTAACTCAAGGCTGTCAATAGCTCCTAAGCATAGTCAGTATATAGGTGTTTCCATATAATATGATCTTGTTAAGTTGAAATTGCCAGTAATTTTAACTTGAATCTATTTTCCTGTGTACCTTCCATTCTTTGATAGGTCCAGGATCTTCATTTTCTTTTATGTTCTGTATGAACACAGATGGTTAAGATAAACAAATATGCCAACATGTACAGCTCCATGCCAAACACAACACCATGCGATTACAACCTCATGTCAACATCCTTTTTGCTGATTCAGGTGTTAACAATGTTCTGACTGGGACACAAAGGGACACCTTGACAACATCCTCAAAAGCACTATAAACTGCGTACAGTTTTATAATCATTCCATGAACACATTCTTCAGAAATGGCTTAATAACTGGAAATTTTACTGTCGTAGAAAAAATTTGACAAAATTGGGTATTAAATTTCTTAACTTTAAACTTTGAATTAAAGTCAGGATTTTGTTACCTCTCAACACTTTGACTTAACAAGGTTTTACTGTGTATTTTACAAATGCACATAACTATATATTTCTCACCCTCCATAAATCATCATCCTTTGCTCTATTTGAGGGTTCTTCTGGAGGAGGATTTCTACGACGTTGTACTAAGATATAATTTTTTAAATTAAATATATTTGATTTTATGAATTATTTAACTAATTATAATAAAATCATTAAAGTAGCAAATATATATTCAGAAATCAATATACCAAATATAAAAATCAGTATAAATTATCAGTATAAATTTATTTAATTATATACCAGTAATATTGTGGTGACTGTAAAAATCAGTATAATGACTAAACAAATCACTTCACATAAACTGGTAGAAATTATACTAATAAATTTACAAAGGCATAGCTAGAATTTTGCAAAGTGAATGCAGTTATAAGTCTGTATTAATTTGTTGGAATATTTAATATGAAGCCAAAAAAAAAAATATGAATTGGAACATTTCATGAAACAGTTAAATTAGATTAAATTTGATAATGAGACTAATTAATGCTGTTATCTCAATATCTTATGTAACAGTAGTGTAAATCTAATGAAAACTTTGTATTTAAAGTAAAACACTTGACTACTTTTTTAAGGAGATGCTCCAATAATAGATACATCATTCCTGGATACACTTCTGTATTAATATATAATCATATTAATTTATTATTTTAGTTAGATATAGGGCTTTTTATTGACAAACTTAATAATTAAATAATTCTTCAAAAATAAAAAATAATACAATAATGTAGAAGAGATATAAAATTTGCACTTCAGTTGAGTTTTTACGAGTTACAATAAACAAATTTCTAAACTCATTTTCTCAAATACCTAATTAAAAATAATTATATAGTAAATCATAAGATATCAATTAATAATGAATATTATTTCTAAATTCTTGTGTATTTAGAGAAGTCCAAACTCACAAAACAAAGTGGAATATACAATCAATATAAATAAATAATGTTTACTTCTCTCCAACACTGAAATAATTGGAATGGATGCACACAGTTTATGTTAAAAATTATTGAATCAATAATTTCATTAATTGAGGATGCCATACTATCATATCTATATAATAATATATACTGACAAGTTTTATTGAACTATCCTACATTTATTCTTCAATTATTATGATTTTTACATTTGGTATATATTACAATTTCCCTTTTTACATCTAATTTTAATTACTAATGTTAGGACAATTCATAAGCAGAAACACAAACAAGTTAATTTCAAAAAATCAGCAGCACAAAAAGAATTATAAAATAAACATTGATCATTAATTAATACTTACAGCTCTTTGAAAGAAATGGAGTGGCTGCTCTATAATGCCTGACTGATAAAATTACTTCATCACCTGCTGTTCTCAAAATATTCACTGCATCATCGTGATTTACTTTTTCAACATTAATGTTATTTACCTAAAACAGTTTTGTCAGAAAATATTAATTCTGAACTCAACTAAGATATTTGATAAAATAAAAAAAATGTAAAAGAAACTATAAACAAAAAAAAATTGAAGCAACAATTATTCTATTAATTATTTACAATAAATGCATAAAAATTTGAAAATAACAATAGAAAAAGTTAGAAAATTAATTGAAAGCTCAAACTATACAGGATTTCCCAAATAAACTGATCCTCATTCTTTATGATTTACATACAGAACCGTCAAGGAGGAGATATTCAAGCTGGGAATTTCAGATTTTCAGGGGACTGTCAAGCTGGGAATTTTTCCCCAGTCTCAAAGACAATTAGCAGCCTGAATTATTATTATTTTTACTAACAGAAAATAAAATCTTTAAGATTATTGTTTATTAATAAAGAAACATTCTACATAATTCATTTGTTCAAGAAAAACAAAAGGCTAAAAAGGCCCATTCTACCCAGGCCCCACATCAGTTCTTGGCGCCCCAATCATTTATCATTACCATTATCAATAATTTGAAGCTTGAATCAAAATAATTAAGTAAACTTTGTTTCAATAAATTAAGTGTGTTTGGAAATAAAAATTTTATATATACAGCACAGCATCAATTATCAAAAAAAAAATCAATTAACTAAATTTGACTTCAGAGAGTCAATATAACAATAATTGTTGACAATCTTCTGTAGGCTCACTAAGTATTGAGTTATATCATCATCAACACTAGTGTAAAGTTTCATTTATTATAGTACAAATACTTCGAGAAATATTGAATAATGAAATCAGTAACAGCAAATTCAAGTAACATATACTAGCAAGATAAAAATTATTGTGAACACTTAAGAGTTAAAATTCCAAACAATTACTATCCATTATATTTAGTGAATTGAAACATTAGGTTTTTCACTGTCTTCATGGAAATGATCAGAGCAAATGCATATAGGAGTTTAGGAGATTTAACCCCATCCATTTGGAAAGAATTAAAAAATTAACATAAAGCCAAACCAACTGCTGTATAAGATCAGGCTATTTTCCGGCAATTATAATTTTAATTATAATTAATTTGTCCTGGATGGAGGCATTAGGCACCATCTTGTATTAAATTTAATAATTATAATTTATTTAAATAATTTTAGAGGGTATCCTGGAAGAAAAGAATTGGGTTGGAGTGGAACTTGAACCTGCAACTCCTACTTGCTGTGCAGATATGTTGCCAATTACGCTACCTGGAAGAGGAGATCGGACCAGAGGTCCAGGATCATGATCAACTTCTGATTATGCTTGATATACAGCTTATCCAAAGAGGGATGTGGACAACAGTATTTAAGCAGGACAATACTAAAACTGTTCAGTAAGTTATCCTAGGTTGAACTTATTGTACATCAGGTCTATTGGTAAACATTATGTTACAACATATTAAAACTCCCAACAAAATATTAATACTTTGCACAGCATAGATTCATAACAGTACTGCTATGTACTGGTATACTGGTAATATTAAAACACTATACAGTCGACCCCCTATAATATTGTTTATTATTCCGTTTTATATGAATTCCATGTTATACAAGTCACTTAGATTTTACAAATACGTGTGCCTGGCTGTGAACTGTAGCATGATTTTGGCATATGCTCAGCCAATTTATATTATTATATTAAGCTCTATGCTAATATAATTCTGGTTCCCAAAGATTTACTCCTGTCTATGAGGCTGGCTGGAATTATAGTAAGAAGAGTACCATGATTGTTAAAAATACTGTTCCATTTGTTTGCCATTATAATAAAAGTTTACATTTAATATCTATTGTATAAATCAACTCCTAGATCTTGGAGAGATTTTTCCAGGCTTAAAATGTTGAATTATATACTGGCAAATATAGTGATATGGACCAGAAAAACTTTAAAATAATGAAAAACAAACTCAAAATGTTTTCATTTAACAAAACCAACTGTTATTTTATCTAACTTTTTACTATAAACAAAAGTTATTTACTTGTATGATTTAACTAGAAATAAAGTTGACCCCCCTATAACACGGTATATACGTTCCGGTTTTTATGAATTCATTTTCTATGAGTCCAGCCAATCACAGCCCAGCACGTATGCAGTTTACGGACTACGGCAGTTTAAAAGGTTTTCTTCCATAAAATTAATCGATTCTAGAATAATTTGACTCAACATTTCCAAAATATGTAAAATTTTTTTGGGAATAATCCATATAAACTATGCTATAAACAAAAAATTGTAGGATTACAGGATTACTTACCGAATGTGCACCGTTCGACTACACCATTGCTTAAGCTTGTTTTCGTCGTGGAGCTTGTCATCGAATGGTGCTCTCGTGCTTCCTGATAAATTATTTTTTTGCAAAAAATTCGCTGAACTTTGGAGACATCATTAATATAAATATAATTTTTATGGACATTAAATAATAAATAGTTTTTAGTAGATCCGCTGCTCGTTTAAACTCAACGGTTTGTACAATATCCGCTATTGGTCTAGATTTGACCAATCCTGTCGCGACATGAGTCAGCGATGATGTTTTACAAAATTATAGTTTTTTTAGCATGTTTGTACGAATACTGTCGCAATTTTTTCACCGTGATATAGGAATCCGAATTATAGGAACCCTTGTTATTGGGGGGGTCAACTGTATAAAATTTTTGAAAAATACATTAAGAACTGAGCCTTAAACTTTTTAATAATTGGACAATACCAAACATTTTATGGAAAGAAATATCTTGAATGTACAACAAATGTATTTTTTACGAATCAACAAATGTATTTTTAAAAATGTCTGTGGAAGAGTTAAAAATCTATTGAAGATAAATATTTAAAATATTTTTATCTTATAGGATTACCATAAGAGTACATTAATCTAACCTCTTATATAGCTAATGTGGTCATAATTCTAAACCATCTATTAATTATAATTATATTAAATTATTTAAGCTCAAATTAAAATTTTAACTTTTTTTTAACTAACTATAAAAATTATTTAACAAAATTTATAACTTTGGATCCTACATTTTGTACTTCTGCAAGACTATTCCTTTGATACTGTTGACTCCATCATTAACATTAAGAAACACAAAAGCAATAACATTTAAAGAGTCATCATTTATTCTGATTAAACATTTTCAGAATAATTTACATATCAGATCAAATATATTCAAAGAAATTAGCATGGAACAAACAATTAACCTAAACATAAACAACTTTAAAAATATAAGATTTTGATCTGATAATGAGAATTTTTGAAATATTTTTACCTTTTCATCAATTTTGGTGAAAGGTTACAAAAAAAAAGAAAGAAAAAAAAATCACTAAACTGAGATTTTTGATGACTTTTTAAAGCTCACAATGTTCAGCTAGGCTCACAATGGAGGAAACTGGGTGGTAAGAGACAATGCTAAATCTGTCCCTAATATGTTCAATATTAGGGACAGATTTCCCATGAAAAATTCGTGAGAAGTTGATTGCCTGAACTTAATCCCAAGTCCCCAGAGCAGAAATCTGATGCTTTAACCAACTGTAACAATTTTGTTTTTCTTAATGCTAAAAACAATTTACATATTAAAAAAAATTGCTAAAAATTAAAATAAATAATATCTATTGCTAAAAACCTAGATATACTGATATTTAGAAAAACTTACATAATTATATAAATATAATAAACCTTTATTTTATTACTTTGTAAGTATTGTTTTATCTTCATATTTCCTGAAAGTTTTTCATTTAAAATGAGCAATTCATTTTTCTATTATTTATTATTACTTTACACTATTTAAACAAATATATGAATAATTGCTTAAATTGAAAAAAAAATTATAACAAATTTATTTTCATGTACAGTACATACCACAGAAAATAAATTTTCCAGAATTAACAACAACAGAAATAAATTGATGCACTTAAAACATTACATATGTAAACATTACTTCCATAATAACTTAAAAAACAAATATTAAACTAATCTTCTATATTGGATATTTAAGATTGATAAAGACAGGAAAAATAATGCTAAAAAACTTTGGGGGCAAAACTTTATATTTGTTTAATCCTATAAACAATATTTAATAAGCATAATTTTAATTAATAAAGCTAGAAATTATTAAAATTTTCTGGAAGATATCCAAAAGTGTCATCTAATTTAAATTTTAAATGAATATAATTCATTTAAAATTTATCTCAAGCTATAATCTTTATTTCAGAAGTTGGTTGGAATCATTTATCTTTTATTTCAAATTACCACTGTACTTCAGAGACTTAATTTCTATTCAAGTTATAATAGCAAACTTAATAAAAATGACAATTTGAAATAAGGTATTCAAAATTATTATTCATTTGTGGTTTTAGTGAATAAAACTTTCATAATTTTCTTATGTTTATGGCATTTTTACATTTAAAAAGTTAAATGAATAAAAAGTTTTGTCTCAACTTCTTTTATACATTTACAGATTATTTTAGTAACTTAATAATTCATTTCCATTGTCAACTTATTCAACTTTTCATCATTTTATACTATTTCCCAGAATAGCAATGGAGCTGATGTGCTAAATCTTAAATGTGTATCACTCTATTGCTGTAACTAAGCAACAAAGCTGTTCTATTTTATTCAACCTTGTTGAATAAAAACTTCAAAAATTCTAATATCACATCATATAACATTCTGTAACATTTTTCTGATCTTCTGACNATTCTATAGTCTTTCATAGAATAAAAATTGAACTGATGTTCATTAGTCTGTATAATAAATTTAAATATATAAATTATAATAATGTCATAACAAGAATAATGATATACTATTATTTAATTAACTAATTTAATTTAAAAAATGTAGTATTACTTTGAAATGTACTAATAATATTTTAAATTCTAATATACCTCTCACATTATTATTTTGCTAAATAAATATTAGCAGATAAATATAATTAAAAATTCTTTTAAAGCATTTATTTTAGAAAAAATTCAATTAAAATATATAAACAAACTTTGATTTATATACAACAAAAAAGAAAGAATAACTATTTTAATCTTAAACATTCTAAATTAAAAACTAAAAGAAAATGTTTCCTAGTCATAAATTTTCTTAAAAATGTCAATTCTCTACTTTCTTATGAATCATGAATGCCAGTATGAACAAATCATGTAATAAAAATATTCTTTTACAGTCAAGTAAGATGAGACAAAACTATAAATCATGTCTTGTTACCAGTAATACGATATGCATAATGTAATTTGTATATTAAAAAGCTAGAAAGTATTGGTTAAAAAATAAATAATTTTCCATTTCAGTCTGTAAATCATCATATTTTTTTAAACAAAAACAACTAATGTAAATTAATTTCAAACAAAATAAATATTTAATTTATAAACATATTTTTAAAAAATTAAAAATTTACCTTAATTATTGCATCACCAACAAATAACTGTCCTGTTTGATCAGCTATAAAATATTTGTAATGTATCACTTATAGAAAATAATTTAATATTTTATTAAAATGTTCTAATGAATATATTTTTAAATCAATTAAATCAAAATTTTTTAAAAAATATACATAAATACCACATTCCATATAATTTATTAGTTAGTTAATTCAATGAATAATTTCTATTTTGTTATAATAAACAGTAAGATTATTTAATTAATTAAAATTTGATGGAATTTTCAGATAGCCTAATAATCAAACTTCTCATTAATTCTCAAATCAGATAAACCAAAATCAAAACTCATTAATACATGCATTAAAATATAATTGGAAGACTATAATTTAATGTGAAATACTTACAGTGTTCATAAACATACATTTATCAATTTGTTAAATAATTGAAATTTCATTACATATAACATTTCTGTATTATTACTACTAAACTTTAAAAAAAAACCAAAATGACTGTACTACATTTTAAGTGTTACCAATCAATTTATATCATATATTAATTAAATAAAATATAACTTTAAGACTTAATATATATATTTGACTTGTCAATAATCAATACTATCAGAATTTATTAAGTAATGTAATTATTTCAAAATAATCTTGGCTAATTATCTAATGGTAATCTGAAGTTGGCATTATAAGTTTCAGAAATACGGCACATCTACTTGAAATGCCAAAAACAGATAATCATTAATTATATCACTAATTAAAATTATTTTAAAATAATTGTAACCAGATAGACTTTAACAGAATTAAACATGTTTGACCACAGACATGATAGGGAAAATTAATGATTACTAAAATGCAAATAACTTTTAATTTGTCTATAGTAGCAGTTCTCAAAGTATGATCTTTGAACCACTGGTGGTCCTTGAGCATGCACCAGGTGGTCTGCAGACTGAGTAGTCATTTTGCCAAATTGAAATTCTAGTGCTGTTTAGTGAGAGAAAAGAACATTTACACATATCACATATCTCTTACATTAGGTTATCAAATACACAAAATATTCTGGCACACAATCAATCATTATCTAAGGGGATATTTACAGAATAAGAAATAGAATTATAGGTAGTCTGCAGTTTATCTATGACTCAAATTTATTGATCTGCAGACTGCTTAAACTGAGTACTAATGGTGTCAAATTTATACATTTCATATTAATTAAATAATTTTTCATATTCAGTTTATGTTTTTCTGTAATTTTATTTCTTAGTAATAAAAGTATTTTAATAATTTTCATTTTAATTCATAAGAAGATATTTATTATTCATTCTCTCCAACTTTTTCAATGATATATAAACCAAGAATATTTTCAGTATCACAAATCATTTTTTATTCAGACAAAACATTACTACGATACTGACAATTGTTTGATTCCATAAAGTATATAAGTTTCAATTAAATACTGATTTATTTAATTGAATTTCCCAATTTAATCCCAATTATCCAAGGTAATATAAACCAATGCATTCTTGGATAACTGAAAACTCAGATAAAGCAAACAGCTATTTCAAATCAAAAATTATGAATGGTAAAAGATTTATCTGGTGTATTACTTTTAAGCCTCTTTTTTAAGCCTTTTTTTTATACCTTAACTAGCAGACCCCACCACGCGTTGTTGTGGCTCAAAATGTATCTATTATAAATGTATAACACTTCCCCCGTGGTGGAAAATTTTTCGAAAAATTTCTTGTTAGTGTACATTCTCTTGACGTACCCTATTAAAACGCAATCAAAAACGCAAAAATCCGCATCTAAAATAGTATAATAGAAGCCAAGTTCTTTATGTAAGCCTTAATCCTGTCACTTTCCCCCGCGGAGGAATATCGAAAAATCCCTTCTTAGTGTACATTCT